GGAACGGCGCCAGGAGCGCTCTTAGAGTTGGTGACCTCCTGCCCCAAGATAAGAGTATAGGAACAGGAACAACCTTTTATGGTCAAGAGTACCGGAACAGGAATATCTGTTTATGGGCATGGATGTCAACTTACGTGTATAAGCTGACGTGGTTGGATTCCTGGGGAAGGGGGAAGAGGGTGCCTGGAGGATATATATACTGCATGAAATTTCTCATTTCTTTGGACTTGCTGTGGACTGACCACGCAAGTGCCTTCTGCTATCCGGAGAGCAGAATAAACTCTTTCTCTGAATCAACCTTGGTGTCATTTGACTTCCTTCGTCCCTCCCGGGAGCAACGCAGACCCCACTAGTCGGTAAAGTCTAATAAGGCTACACACCTAAAGATTCAAGCTCTCTCCCTGCCACCTGGAGTGGGGACAGGCAAACCAGGAGATTTCATGTCAGCCCTGGAACTCTGGCATCCCTATTACATATTGCATTTTAAGATGAAGTAGTAGGATGACGTTAAACATGCTTTTAACCTCCTCCTCTCAAACCCTAAAAGCTCAGCTTATGAAGCAAAACTTGGAGGTGATATTTTTTGCAGTTAAAGGGCAGTTCCTGAACCGCAAATTGGCCCCAGCCCCATTTCCCTGTCAAATCTATGGCGGATGGAAAGTCTTGAGCAATGATGTTTTGGTTTTCCTTCTGCAGCTGAAGAACCCTGAAACAAGCCAACTTTTTTCCAGCCTGAAGCAAATTCAGTGGCACAGATGAATTAGCCGCAGGATGAGACACTTGGTGCATTTGTAAAATTCCCAAACACGAATGAATATGGGGCATTTGCAAAGTTGGATATCTTTGGTGTTGGGATAATATGTGTAGGATCTACAGTAAAGAAAGCTATGGGAACTCATTAAAAAGAAAGAAAAAGATTCACACGCATGGCAGTAAACAAACTTAGCCTGGTAGCAGCTAGCCATATATGGTCTACGTTTTATAGCAAATTAGCACAAGACATAGGTACTTACTGGAGGGCACCTTTAGTAAAATGCCAGGCCTCTGTTGTGGCGTAGATGCTGGAGGAAGAAGAATGTTTTCTGCCACTGAAATGAGGAACAGAACATAAAAGATCAGCTGGGCTGCAAGATATAGGTCATAATATAATGTTTGAAGACTGGGAAAGATTGTGGAAAACTGATTTAAAATTTACAGATTGTGGCACCCACCCTGTAGAATGTCCTCCCATCAGATGTCAAGGAGATAAACAACTACAGTGGTACCTCAGGTTAAGTATTTAATTCGTTCCAGAGATCTGTTCTTAACCTGAAACTGTTCTTAACCTGAAGCACCACTTTAGCTAATGGAGCCTCCTGCTGCTGCCGCGCCGCCGGAGCACGATTTCTGTTCTCATCCTGAAGCAAAGTTCTTAACCCGAGGTACTATTTCTGGGTTAGCGGAGTCTGTAACCTGAAGCGTCTGTAACCCGAGGTACCACTGTACAAATAATCTGCCCTGTCTGAGAGGTGCCCGTGCATCCTCATGGGACCGGTCTTTTCTGCAACCTGATCCTGCAGAATGCAGATAACCACTGACCCAACCATGTGGGTTGGTGAGATTGTGTGGATCTTTGCAGAATGTGCTGAACCATGTGTCAATATTCCAGGCAACCAGCACCTTCTGCAAAGACTCGTGGGCCCACCCAGAGTCTTCAGACACAGCCTCTGGGCGCCTTGGAAATTGTTGAAGGAATTTGATTCCCCATGGAGTTGCATGTGCATTCCTAAGAACCGGGAAAGGAAAGTGGACAAAGGCAATTAGAAGTGTATTGTTGTTGAGCAAGAATCATCCCTGCATCCCAGTCTCTTCATACATGCAAATAGGGATGGATGGGCCTGTCAGTTTCATCTGGTTCTGGAGGAAGAACTGTGAGGGGAGAGACTTCATCAGGCACGGCCTTGCCCCACCCTCTAGTCTCTGCTTCTCAATTTGTATTGTATTATTTTATGTACTGTGGCTTGCCATTGTTTTATTGATTATAGTTTAGGAATTATTTATCGTAACTGTTGAGTGGATTTCTGTTTAACTTTTATATGTTATTATTATTTAATACTATTCTAATGATTGTTGAATGTTACTTTTTTGATGTAGGTTGCCTGTTTTAAAGTTTTATTATCACATTTTTGTATTGCATTAGATTGTTATAAGATGATGTAATACAATATGTGTATATGGAGTATCTAATTGAAAAACTAATAAATATTATTTGGAGGGGGGAGATTGTTATAAGATGTACATTTTTTGTTTCTTCAGCTTGTAAACTGCCTTGAATATTGTAAGATAGAAAGACGACATGCAAATTTTAAAAAATGGTGATGATCTCAGTTTTCCCCAATCTTAAATTCTATTTTCCACATTTGAATTGTTTAAAACAATAAATAAATTTTAAATTTCTAACTATTCTACTGAGAATTTGTCCCAAGAAATACATTTTTTTGGTATGCATTTTGGACTAATATACATAATTTTGCAACCATTTCCACTAATATATGCAGAAAGGTTGGAGCCTAGGCATGGCTTCCATCATCAAGAAATTCAGAAGATACACCAAAATGTTGTGGGTTCCTTCCGCTGCAAAATAAGCTCACCTGTCTGCATTGGGCGAGGCGCTTTGGTCCGTTTCAAAGAAGCTGGTCGCGTCCAGAACGTAAGGGCTTCAGCTGAGAAAGCAAAAACAGAAACACGTATGACCTTAATTACAGTGACAAGAAGGATTGCTCTTGTACGGTCAAGGGTTTCACAGCAGTTACGTTACAGCAGTTCCTCAAACAAGTTAGGAGAGGTGCAGAAGATTCTCCCATGAATCCAAAGGATATTCAAATGGTTTTTTTAGGCAGACACAACCCCATTCCCTGATGATGAGCCTAGTGAAACCTGTCAGCATTTTGGTGCAGATTTCTCCATTGTTTATATGTAATTTTCTCTAAAATACACATTTTTGCAAAACTATTTCCCCATACGTAATGCATTCATGCATTTTCATTTCACTAATATATTTATGTGTACTGTACTTATTTTACCCTAGTATTTCTGTGGACATTGTTTGGCCACAGAACTGCACTGGAAATAGAATAGAGGAGAATGAGGTGTTTTGCATACTGTTTCGGCAAGCATAAATTCAGTGAGTTCAGCTTTAAATACAAACTGAATTAATTTCCCCGTGTTCCTTGTTACTTGTGCTGAGATATCACAGGACTTCATCCATCACAGGCATCCCCAAACTTGGCCCTCCAGATGTTTTGGGACTACAGTTCCCATCATCCCTGACCACTGGTCCTGTTAGCTAGAGATGATGGGAGTTGTAGTCCCAAAACATCTGGAGGGCTGAGTTTGGGGGTGTCTGAGCCATCAGA